TCAATATAAATGTGATGTTGGAGAGGTATGGCTTGATTAGATGTCAAATATGCCTTATGACTAACTGGCACCCGCGACTGTTTAGTGTAGTGGTAACACGACCAAGATTCTCACGATTCGATATAGAATACCGCTAGGGGTGCTGATGAAACCTAGACAGGAACTAAATTGGAATTCATCCAGGATGAGATAGCCATTTGGGAGGCTCACTCAATACCAATTTATGAGATAAACTTACCTATCAGTTTGCCTTTGTATGTTATGTATTACAAATATGCAACTTTTTTGTTAGACAGAAGCAATATGTGTGCATTTCTTGCGTACAAGACAGGGTTCAAGCAAATTATAACTAAGTAGCTATTAAGAAGCGGAATGATAACCAGGTTTTCATTGGACAATTGTCCCAACTAACCTGTCTACTTCGGCGACGAAGTGCTGCATTATGTTGACGCAACAAGGCTCGGCCACACTCTCGCTGCTCAATCTTCCGTGCTCTGGCTTCGCGTTCTGCTTCAAGTTCAGAAAGAAAAGCTTTTTTCTGAATAAGTTGCTCTTCTTCACGAGACAGAGCCTGAGCCTGGAAAAGAACAAAGCAACGTAAGAGTAAGAATTGTCTTATATAAAGCAAAAGTTTTGATCAAAAGATCCTTCGGGGATAACACTCATACAATGTTAAGTTGATGCAAATTTCGCATGAAAATGAGTGACTCAGAGATTCTTATGGAGATATCACCAAAAGTAGAAAGCAAAATCTATTTGGTCTGCCAGTGTGATTTTTATAGGATGTTCACTGTGTCCCATATGATTATTAGAAGACAGTGTGACAATGAGTGTGGCATTATAATGCAAGGGATAAGGAATAAACATTTAATAATAAATTAATTGCACATTATGAAAATAAGCGCTCTACCTAAAATTTTACATGCAATTAATTCTGAGTCAACATGCGTTTAGTAAATGGGTGCTAGTCCATTAGGAGCTGTTCAACAAATCGAATTGACAAAAAATTGATTTGCACGTAGGTGCCAAATAAAATGTAACCTAAATATAGCAAACCACAATGAAGTGATGTTGATATTACCAGGATAAGATGTATTTTTAAAAAAAAGAATTAAAGTTTTTTATACTTTAAATAAAACTTATTGAACTAATTTGCTATGAAGATACGTCCTTAATCAAAATTTAATGCATAAAATACCTTAATTTCAAAATTAGCTACATTTAAATAGGTATTAACTATAAGTTATTGTCCAACCTATGAGTTGTTGCAAAAAACTGTATAAAAAACAATTCAATAAATTAAGACGTAGGGCCAGATAGATAAGAAATTAAAACCTTAAGCTCTTTTTGCTTGAGTTCTTCAATTTGCTTTTGCAGAAAAATAGCCCGCTCCCGATCATTTGTCAATTGTTTCTCCACAGCCTGACGTTCAAGAGCATCAGCCCGCTCTCGTGTGATGCTATCATTTTCACTCTGAATAAGACCCTCAGCCAATTCTCGTGCGATAGCCTAAAAGGAATATACTAAGATAAACAAAATTATAAGGTTTAATGAATTCACTAATATGATGCATTACTTCATTCTTTAAAGAGACCTGCTCTCCCCAGGATTTTATTGTCTGTTTGGTTTGCAATTCTCTGTTCACGCTCCTTAATCCTGGATCGTTACGTCTAAAGTGCTCATCAAGAAGCTTATCAGACAACTGAAAATAATTTTTTAACCACATACTTTGCATCGTTCAATTTCTTTTGCCTGTTTATGGGAATTCACTCTTAGATTCATATTTTCCTGACTATCAAAAGAGTTATATTTTTTTAATTCTTTCT